TTCAAGACCAGCCTGGCCAATGTGATGAAACCCCGTCTCTACTAAAACTACAAAAATTAGCTGGGCATGGTGGCAGGCGGCTGTAGTCCAAGCTACCGGAGAGGCTGAGGCAGGAGAATCGCCTGAACCTAGGAGGCAGAGGTTGCAGTGAGCCATTGCACTCCAGCCTGGGTAACAAGAGCAAAACTCTGTCCACAAAAAAAAAAAAAAAAAAAAAAAAAGCCCCAATTCCTAATTGCCAAATCGCATCTCCGTATTGAACTGTGAAGCTGGAAGAAAGTCCAGCCAGAGGGAAATTGTGACCGTCAGCCACAGGGCACAGGAGACGCCGGCCTCTTCCTAGTGGAGCGTGGGATGGGAAAACAGTCCTTACCTCTCAAATTCAATGTCTGGTTCGAAATCCACGTAATTCTCCAGGAACACCCCCTTTGCCACCTGCAGTGAGACTTTCTCCAAGTCTCGACACTGCTTCAGGCTGAAGGAACAGTGCATCATTTCAGAAGTATTTGTCAAGTTAATAGAAATCTTCTTGAGCGGGGCCACCACCACCTTCGCCAGCTCCTCCTCCTGAGACTCGTACAGGCAGCACAAGACCTCCTTCAGGTCTGTCATGGATAAGGGCTTATTGGCATGAAGATTGGCTTTGCATCGCAGCAATTCCTGTTTGATCTCCGGTGACATCCGGCAGCCAAAGGTGGCCTCCAACTCCGTGACTCTCTTCTCATTAGCCAGACCGAACAAGAAGCGCCCTACCTGGATCAGGTCGGGGTTCTTGAGTCTTTCTTCTCTGGAAAGCAGCTTCTGCACGTCCCCAATGTCCCAGGCATGGCCGTCCCTATCCTCCTCCTCCTTCTCCAGGGCGTAGAACAGCGCAGTGAGAAACTGCTGGAAGCTGAGGTGGATGAAGGAGTAGCAGCCTTTGGAGACTCTGTCCTGGCGGAGGATGTCTCTGTCCAGGAACAGGCGGAGGTCGGACTCCTGCACCCCAGCGCTTTCCAGGTCCTCTCCGTGGAGCACGGACATCTGCGCCCACAAACCCTGCGCGGCCAGGAGGCTCAGCGCCCGCAGCGCGCCCCAGAGCTGTGCGCCCTGCGGGAACTGGCTGCAGAGGAAGCGCAGGAACAGCCCCGTGCTGGTGAGGCAGGTGGGGGCCGGGTCCTCCCCCTTCTCCATCTGCAGCTTCAGAGTCGTGCACACGATCCCGCACACCGCGGGCGCCGAGCCCAGCTGGAACAGAGCCGCGTTGCTCCTCATCAGCTCAAAGGCACGCATGGCTTGGTCCTCGTCTCCAAAGTGTCTCAGGAAATAGGCCCTCCTGTCCGACTCCAGGAACCCCTCCACCCTTATGTAGATGGGCTGCTGCACCAGGAGCTGGAGGTCCCTCAGGGCCCTAGGCCGCGTGGTGACCAGCAGGGTTGCCTTGGGTAACATCTTCCTCTTCAGTAAACTCCCCAGGAGGACCGGCACCGGCTTCTGCTGCTCCCAGTCCCCGCAGATGTCCTGGATCAGCGCCCCGGGTGGGACTTTCAGCTCATCAAGGCCGTCGACCACGAACAGGATTCTCTGTGCTTGGGCTAGGATGCTTGGAATGTCATCCTGCAATTCAGGCCAGTCTTTGGAGATCAGCTCTGCAAAACTGCACGGGCCCATGCGGCTGAGCTCCTTGCAGCTGAGGTAGAAAGCGTATCTGACCGTCGGGCTGAGGTTGCAGTCTGTCCAGTCCAGCATACACTTTTTGGCCAGTGTGGTTTTCCCCACGCCCGCGGGGCCGTGCAGCACCACGGTGTAAGGTGTTAGCTTCCCGGGTGTTCTGGGATTCAAGAATGGAATGAACTGCTGGTGTCTCCGAATGACGTCGTCATGGAAACTGTCGATGTCTCCTTGCCAAAAGGTGTTCTTCCAGACCAAAGATTGTTTCTGCATTGAATTTCTCCGTCCCTCCTTTTCACCTGCAGTGACAGCCCATAGGACAGTTGAGGTTGATGATTACACTCTTCTGAAAATAACTTTGCCAAGTACCAGAAATGAGGGCCGGGTACGGTGGCTCATGCCTGTAATCCCAGCACTTCAGGAGGCCGAGGTGGGTGGATCACTTGAGGTCAGGAGTTCAAGACCAACCTGGCCAAGATAGTGAAACCCCGTCTCTACTAAAAATACAAAACATTAGCTGGGGGTAGTGGTGGGCGCCTGTAATCCCAGCTACTCAAGAGGCTGAGGCAGAGAATTGCTTGAACCCGGGAGGCAGAGGTTGCAATGAGCAGAGATGGAACCACTGCACGCCAGCCTGGGGGACAGAGCAAGATTCTGTCTCAAAAAAAAAAAAAAAACAAATACCAGAAATGAAGAAAACCAGGAAGAAATGATGCACCTTGCACGCTCTCGAACATCACACTCATGACCACACGACCGTATTTACCCACCTGGCTTTGCTAACTCTGAGTCTTCTTCTGCATCTCCCAGCTGAGGGTTATCTATTTCTTGCACCTGTCCGGCCTCTGTAAAATACTTAGATGTAAGACTGACACAGCAATTTGCACTGTGTAAATCAGACATTATTATACATAAAGTGTCAGCCGGGCGTGAGCCAGACCCTCACCCACTGACCCAGCCTCGCGCGCGCCGAGTGAGGACCCCATGTTTCTCAAAAAAAAGTGTCAATAATATCAATATATATTTTACGATGCTGATCTCGGAATATGTTCGTCCAGAGTGGATTCAAACGTCCTGGGTTCAGCAATCCATGCCCACCATCAAAAGACTCCGTGAGTAGCCGGACTACAAGAACACATTCCCTGGCCTTGGCTCCAAATTTTTTTTTGAGCGGAGTTCCGCTTGCCACCAGGCAGTGGCGCGGCCTTTCACTGGAAGCTCACCTCCCAGGTCCCATCTGTCTCCTGCCTCAGCCTCAAGTAGCTGGGACTACAGGCGGCCACGTATACCCGCGCTAATTTTTTTTGCTGTTTTTAGATAGAGATGGGGGTTTCACCATGGTTAGCTCAGGATGTGTCTCGATTTCTTGCCTTGGACGCCTGCTCGGCCTCCAAAGTGCTGGGATTACGGCTGGCCACGGCCTTTTTGT